CATCCATCCATCCATCCATCCATCCATCCATCAATTGATCTATCAAGAGGGTACTAGTGTGGCACTATAGGATAAACACTGGACTGCTCACCACAGGGTTGGAGGCTTAAATTTACCAGCTGCTCTTTGGAAAGCTTATTCAGGGGTCACTGTGAGTAAGAATTGACTTGACAGCAATTAACAACAACATATATAGATAGATATACCTCCATGACCTTCCTTTAAAACTTACTTTGTCCACATTGATTCTCAAAATCTTTTTAGAAGAGATTTTCCCTTCTATAACAATTGATTTTTTAATCTAAGTTCAGAAGCTCATTTTTAATCGATGCTGACCAAGCTTCTGAGGAGTGGAAACTTTTCCATTAGAGATCATCTTATGATCCATTGAGCTCAATAAATATCTATATATCACGATCGATTTTCTATATCTTTATATATATCTTAAAGTTCTAGGAGCAGCGGATAGGCCCAGGTGTTTATTCTTAAATATAGATTAGGTAAGTGAAATGTGTGCAAGCTTATTTGTTGACCACCCAAATGGTACAGTCGCTCTCTCTCTTTTTGTCTACATATGTGTATATATATATATACATACATGTATGTATTTATCTGTATCTGAATTCTATCTTTTAGAATAAAAAACAAAAAACTTTATTTTGTGAATGAATTATAGTTGAATAATGTCATCTATTGTGTTTACTTTCAAATTAATGAAAGTAACAGAATTCTAGTTCTTCCATTTCTATGTAATAGTTTCTGGCAGCTGATGACAAGGTCAAGTTCTGGTTGGAGAGGAATTCGATTGTAGACATCTTTACCATCCCACCAACCTTCATTTCTTATTATTTGAAAAGCAATTGGCTAGGTAAGTGCATTGTGGGAAACAGCATCAATTAAAAAGAAATTTCAACATTTCACATTCATAAATTTTCTTTATTTTTCTTTAGTGCCACCTGTGATTCAAATAATTGCTTGATGTGTTTATGTGGTTACTTACAGGAAATTTTTTTTTTTTCTTTTTTTAAGCCTCAGTACCTAGCAGTATGCAAGGGGACTTCAAAAAGTTTATGGGAAAATTCTATTTTTCCATAAACTTTTTAAAGTCCCCTCATATCTGATCCTCAGAAGGTGATCAGTAGTTTTTATGGAATGGTTGCAAACCTCAACATTCCATGCTCCAGTTCATATTTATGCCATGATACTTAAATGGATTGGGGATGACAAAAATTCTCCTTTAGTCTTCAAAAATCTGTAAGTCATTTTATCTCTAAATGCTGTGACATGTTAGAGAATGATTTTATTTAACTAGTTACTTTTTCTCTTACCTGAATGTGTTGAAACAGCATGGGCATTATAGAATTTTTATCTGTTTTTATGTAATTTTATATCTTTACCTATTATCTATAATACAAACCCTAATTCTCTTATTTGCTATCATTATCAACAAAACACATAATGTTTTGTTTTGTTTTTTTTAAAGCATACAAACATTGAAGGGGTTATCATAGAGATTCTATGGTTCTATGGCAGGAAGTTTAAGTGGGTGATGGTAAATTTGCTCTCAGTTTTTAACAAGAATTCGGTAGAAGACAACATGGTGGTGGTAGTGGTGGTGTGCCGTGGACTTGGTTCCGACTCATAGTGACCCTGAATCGGGTTTCTGAGGCTATAAATCTTTACAGGTGCAGATTTCTCCTGCGGTACTGCTGGTAGTTTCGAACTGGCTGACCTTGAGGTTAGCAGCCTGACTCATAACCACTACACTACCAGAGCTGCTTAGAAGACAATGTGCATACTGCTTATTGTGTGATATGCACTTCTGTATGCTTTCTGTTAATGTAGTAACACTATGAAGTGAGTAGTATCATTTTATAGATGAAGAAATTGATAGTGCCGTGGATTACAAACCGCTACTAAGTGTCCATGACACAATTTGAACCAACACCAAAGCTCATAAACCTATAACATAATAAGATATTATATTTGAGCATTATAGGGAGAAATTTTGTGCAAAGAATCCCATTTTTATAACCCTATTTCACACATGATTGTAATTTTTTTATCTTTTTGATGTTTTCTCCTTTCAATTGCTTTGCAGGTTTAAGGTTCTTAAGAGCGCTAAGGCTACTAGAACTCCCTCAAATCTTGCAAATTCTACAAGTCATCAAAACCAGGTAAACACTAGTCCTACTTGAAGAACTTCTTGCTTACTAGTTTACATTGGGGTTGTTGCTAAGTGGCATCGAGTTGATTTAGGAAATAAAAATGTTGATAACTTTAAATTGGAATACTTCAGTACAAATTTCTGTGCAAAACTCACAAAATCCATGAGCTCCCAAGATATTAATCATTCACTTTATCCCATGCATTATATTATACATTGATGAAAGGGATACAATCTTTTTTATCCTCTCATATATTTGAGCAATCGATCAATCAATCAACTGAGTAACACACACTATAACTACTTTACCCCACCCCACTAGTGTTCAGTGGATTCTGCCTCACAGTTGCCATTTAGAACAGAGTAGAATTCTTGGGATGTAATCATTTTAAAGAGTTTTCTTTTTGTTAAAAGTTAAAATCAGTAAATCCATTTAGGAGTTAATTCTGAGCCCAAAAATCAAATTAAAGTAATCCAGATGCTTTGGTTCTACACATTTGCTTTTAATGAATCTTGTCTTTCTTGGCTAGGTAAAATACACA